CTTTCCCTAAGATATCATACTTCACACGGTTGGAAATAATACTAACAAAGTTCTCCATGTTCTTGTCAACAGGATTAAAACCAATGTAGATCAAAACCTCCCAACACTGGAGAAATTGCTGTTTGTTAATTTTCAGACTTTTCCTTACATCCTCAATAGCACTGGGAGGTGGCAGGAGTCGAGGACAATGTGTTTTCTTTGATAACTTTCCTTGCTTTAGAAGTGAAACAGCTTTAGTAACTATATTCTGAATTGGATCAAAACGAAGCAGGCGAAGTGTGTCTACACAAGTGCGGACATGTTGGAAGTGATCTAATGGCTCTTCTACTGTGAAGTCAAAAACATTTTCAGATATAGCAACATCATATAGGACCTCTAGAAGGAATCGACCATAGCCCTTGTGCTGGTAAGGAGGCAATACCAGTATCTGCCATCAACAGAAGTTCCCATCAAAAGGTGGCAAAAAGAAGCACTCGAGTATTTAAAAAGGCATGTTAAAACTGATCAAGAGTATATCAGCATTTACTAAATGTTCAGTATAATAACAAACCTGGCTTAGTCGCAGTCGGGAATCATCGGGATAGTGGAAAAATCGATAAACAGCAGTAAAACCAATCAACCTAAATTGGATCTCCCCTTGCTGATCAGTTTTCTTCTGAATCACAAGATACAACTCCCAATGCGGATCAGTAACATCAATAGGACTGCTACCTACATGGAAAACATAATCGATTAAAACAAAACAATACAACAGCATGCAATCTAAACATCGCATATATTAAGGGTACACCAAGTAGCAAAACAAGTGAGAATTACCATCAACAAGAAGAAGTGTAAGGGGTATTAGATGACTGTAAAGTTGTCCAGTAGCCATTTTTCCTGCCAACAACCGAACAACCTGTTCCATATACATAAAAATGGTATTCAATTTCAGAATATATCCCTAAAATATGCATATGCAAAAAATAAAAAATAAATTAAAGGGAGACACCTGTGCAAAAAAAACAAAAAAGGAAAATAAAGACAAAATACAAACTTGTTGCAGTAACATTTTTTAACAAAAAGGAAAAAGGGAAAAAATCCCTTGGCTGATTTTTCATGTAAACGAAGGTTGTTAAAATAAGTATCAGATTTCCACACTGCATTTCGTCATTGGTTGACCAGAACATGCTACACCATTTGCAAGTCTCACATACATACATGATTTCTTGGATAAATTTTTGGAAAAGAAGTATCTAAATTTAACAATAAAATGAGGGTGATAAACCCCATAAAAGTGGGTATCAACCTACTTGTGTTTCCAAAATTCATTTAACCAAAATCATTCTAGCCTAATCTAACAGTGAGTAAACCATAAACTCCTCTCCTCCAATGCATAGGGAAACAGAATTTACTGGAAACACACGACTGCACTAGAAATTTGGAAAAAGGCAATTAATAATAATATGCCTTTTTTCAGATAATCAAGGTAAATGCATCCAACTAGCACAGTGGACATCTGAACATTGGCATAGAAATGCTAAAAAGAAAAGTATAGTGCATAACAGAGCTCTCACAGTTACAATCTTTCCATGTATCAAAACAGTAATTTAGTTAGATAATTATACAAAACAAAGAGAAGTTGGAGATGCAACATTTATGATAGTATGTATTTTTTGTAAATAAAAAAGCCGGGCATTCACACTCAAGTAGCCTAACTTTTACATAGACTGCAATACATTAAGCCTAAATGTATATTACAACCTCAACATGAGTAGATGAATCCATATTCTGATTAGAATCACAGATGTTCCCCTTAAAAGCTTTGTGCTTCAGAGCTTCTCCATTTGATATGGTTGTCCTGCAAATCAATTAAGATTGGCAATTTGGTATCCACAGCCCTTACAACTTTATAAATCAAATTTCAAGTAGTATATTAAAATGGAAAGGAACTATGCATGGCACATGGTTTTTGTTTCTAATGAATAGAATAGTAAAGACTCAATACCTAACAAAATCATTATCCATCAAAAACTTTTGAAGGAATTCATCCTTGCTATCAACAAGAGTTTCAGCAAAAATTGTCTGCACAAAATAAACCAAGTTGCAATGTCACGAGTACAAAAGTGCTAACATAATGGTCATCCAGTAGATATTGATGCGTACCTGTAGAGCAGATTTTAGATCTGTGATTCCTTTGCCCCTCTTAAACAATTGAACAAAAAATTCAAAAAAAAAAGTGTCAAAATCATAATGCTTGAAGCATAACAAAAGACAATTCTGAACTAACCAATAAGCTAAAAGAATAACATGCATGTTATTTTTCCCATTAGTCTAAAGTCTAAATGAATTCAGAACTTACATCAGCTGAACTCTGGAATGTAATATCAGCGTATGCATAAAAAGATATGCTGCTAACCCGGATGGTAATCTGCAAAAGAAATGCAAAACAAGCTGAAAAAGAAGACATCGCACGCCATAAAACATTCAAATACAGTTATTTCTAATAAAATAAATGTCCAGTTGTTAAAATGAATCCCACCTTCAAACCCTCATAGCCATAAATTTTTCCATCGTCATCAAAAAAGCTATTCAAATCCACAGGATGAATGACAAAACTCTCTGGAGCATCGAATTCCTCCTTGCTTGAAACTGTACAATAATGGCAGACATCTAAATATCAAAGCAAGCAACACAATTGCCAAATCACAGCATATTGACAATATATTCAAATAAACACCCAAGAAAATTAGGTCGTAGTAAAAACCACTTAAACAAACTTGACCAGAAACTGGTTAACAAGATCATGTCCTTAGTAAAATAAGGACTCGGGGAAATCTTATTGCCTGAAAACAAGTCAGCACACAATAGCTACAGCCAGGAAATCTTGCTCACTGACACAATCCAATCTACACTATACATAAAAAAAGTGCCTACAGAACCCAATAAATCAAATAATTTCTACCTGCACATGACAGGCACAAGTACGAAATAAGCTTTTCAAATACATAAATTATAAACAAAACATCCAATTTTAAGCAAAGCACGCATTACCATAATCATTATTACTTACAAATCCTGTGGCTCATATTAAAAAAAATCTTCTCTAACAATTACATTATAAACAAAAATTCAATTTGAAGCTAAACATGCATTTCCATTATCAATATCACTGTTATTTACAAATCCTATGGCTTTGATTACAAGAATAAATTAAAATACTGTTATCTAACAATTAACATCGTTCTGGTTACCTCTAATGCCTACAAAACCTCTCTCATCTCATAAGCCTCAGATAAGGAGGTCAAAACGAAAAGTATTAGAATGTACAGCTTGTAAGGAGAAGGCTTCCCTCCTCACTTATATACTCTATCTTGGTTTTATATGAGGCATTTGGATTTTTCCGAATTAAAAAAAAAAAAAAAAGACATAATCAAGTCATTATCATAATAACGAGGTCAGCGACCCAATTTCAGAGGAACCACCTTCCCCCATCCCATCATAATCCAGTTACACTGCAACCCTCCAAATCAAGAATTATAGAGCAGCATGGCAGAATTGTCGCATATTGTAAACATACCTAGATAGATTGTGATGCAGTCTTTGGCTTCAACTCCAACATCTACAAAAACGCGACCAAAATATTCATATATACGTCGAAGCACCATCATGAATTGAAGAAATGAACACAAAATAAATGAAACTCACCTACGCCTGAGAAGCCGACACGGCGTCGTTTCTTTACTTCGTTGTCGACATCGGAACTGGACCGCTGCTTCTGCCCCATTCGCTCTTGCTTTTCCTCTCAGCTCAAATCAGTCTCAGTGGCAGTTAGGGTTTATAGAGCGGGAAATCAAATTACGAGAACAATCGAGGGCTTTTAAATAGGGAAAATTCCCGGTACCCTTATTGGGCCGAACGATTAACGGTGGGCCCAAATTGATACCTGGGCCATAACATTTGTTAAATATGTAAAGTTTGATTTGAAAAAAATCTCCGCATCATAAAACCCTTAACTGCATGCATGCATGCTTGAAAATGAAAATCAAGACAACTAGGATGGTAGTAATAGTAAAACAGAAGTTGTTAGATACTTGGGTTTCTTCACGGTTAGTGAGGATGTGAATTGTTCTGATCAAATTTCTTTTTATGGATTGAGAAATGTAATCGTTCTTTTTTATCTCATGAAGTTTTTACATGAATTTTTTTTCTCTTCAAATAAAATAGTTATACAGTAAATGCATATAAAAATGATTTTTTTTTCCTTTTGTTCTTATTTGAGATTTTTTGCTTGCCTTTGATTTGGTATAGATGGTTTATTATGAAGATGCTATAGCACTTTTTTAGGGAAAAATATATTATAATAATTGTCAACATTAAATTTTGAAGAAAAATAAAAAAAGGAAAAAAAAAATATATGGGTCGAACTAAGAGGGCCACAACAAGTATTGGGGTTGTAATCCACATAGGGTTGGGCTTGACTATCAATTTAAAAGACCAATTCAATTTGGACCTTTTTAACTAATATGTTATAATTCATAGTTTTTATTAGGTTTACCCCCAATGTATCGAGTAATTTGTCGATATAGTTCTGAAAAAAAAAATTAGTTTTATAAAATTATTATTTTCCTCATATATATTTTTTTTGTTTGTACAATAAAATTTATGATAATATTTATTATGAGAAAAAAAGAATATTATACAAGATTTTAATTTTTAAAAGTTGAAATTCAAAAACATAATAATCAAATTAAAAATAATGAATGCATGAATTCAAATACTCATTAATAACATCATTAAAACTCATTATCCTTCCGACAATATCTAATAGTAATAAATGTACATTTAAATTCCACTTTTTATTAAATGTCTTGGATATTAATATAGTTTATTAAATAACTAAAAATAAATTATCTAAATATCCTTAGTTTGAATATAAAAAAATTATGCTAAAATTTTATTCCTTTATATTATTAAATATTTAAATTTAAATATTTTAGGATTTTCTTTTATATAGTCCTCATTGAATGTGACACTCTTACTACCCCAACACATAAATTATAATAATAAAATTAACGAATAAAATCTTTTTTTCTTTTCAACAATGGTAAAAGGGTTCACATAAAAATGTGTGTGAGTACTCTTTTAGACTTTAAATGACAATTGCATAAAAGTAGACAATTTTTAAATTTTGATAATTGACCTATATAATTGAACTTAATATTTCATAAACTTAATCTAAATCACATTTAAGTCCTTTAAACATGACACTTATAGAAATTGGTAAGATACTACAAAGAATATTCCAACACCATAATATGGATAATCTATAAAAGTAATTAAAACACCACCAGGATAAGTTTGCTCCAGAGGCAAAAGGATGTCGTTGCCATAAATAAAATGGCAGCTCCATAAGTCATTTCAAGTAGTGAAACACAAATCCAGAATACCTGAAAAATAAACATATTTAGGGGAAACCTAGATATAGGAGGTCACAACTAAATCCTAAAAGATGCTATATATATGAGAAGAACACACCTGTTTTTGACCCAAAAGTACTGCTAAAGATCGAATGCCAAACTTTTCATCTCCTTCAACGTCAGGTATATCCTTGATGAAAGTCCCCAAAAGGTATATTTTACTTTCACAATATGGACACATGCTTATTTTTAGAAAACATAAGATTTTATTCTTTTTACCTTGAAAAGTGCTACAACTACTGATGAGATGCTCAGGAATACTATAGTAAAGATCAATGATGTTGGATACGTAGTTGGCCTCTTGAATATATAGGTCTGCACATTTAATTTTACATATATATATATATATATATTAGAAAGAAAAAAAAAGGAACATTTGACTTAGTAGTCAAGGTAGCTCTATTATATAGAATACTAAGATATATCTTCTAGGAAATAAGTTATGTAAACTAATACTTCCTTTCGTTTTGAATATGAGCAAAGAAAAAACTAAATTAATTCACACTAACTAATTAAGAATATTAGTTATCATCATTTAATTTCAATAATATCAATTAAAAAAATAGCCTATTTTCTAAAATCCTTTGGAACTTGGTATTAAGAATAAAAAAATAATTGGAAATACAATATCAAATAAATGAAAAGATATTTTGGAGATGGTAACATTAAATAGAGTGAAATTAGTTGAGATTTTTTTTTTTCTATATCATAACCTTCCTTACTTGTTTCCAATTAATTTTCCCCCTTTTCCACCTTTCAACTTTTCTTAATTCTTATTTTTGTGTCCTAATGGCTGGGATTTGCTGTCGTGTTGTTGGAGAGGCCGGAGAGACTCCCTCTCCGATCGAGCCTACCTCACGCCCTTCCGCTCGCCGGAGTATAGACCTCCTGCCTTTCAAGTACATAGCTGACGTCCCAATCCCGCCGCCGGAGAACACCCGCAAGCGCCAGAAGCTGGACGCCAGCGGTTCTCCGGCGCAGCCGCGGGAGTGCCAAAACGCCGTGGAGAGTTCCGAATCCAAGGGAGTAGTCGAGGCAGTTTCACTTCCGAATACTTCGAAGATTCCTGCGTTTGTCGAGGAGTGCCCGAGGTATGGGGTAACCTCGGTTTGTGGTCGGAGGAGGGACATGGAAGACGCCGTTTCGGTGCATCCCTCGTTTTGCCTCGAAAATCGTTCTCAGGATCAGAAAGGGTTTCATTTCTTCGCTGTTTTCGACGGTCACGGATGCTCGCATGTAAATAAATTAATAATTAAAAATATGAAATCTGTTTTGTTTTTCCTTTAGGCGGTGGTGGATCTGGTTTCTTAATTAGTTACCTCTTTGTTTCATAGGTGGCGACTATGTGCAAGGAGAGATTACACGAGATAGTGAAGGAGGAGGTTGAGAAAGCGAAAGAGGATTTGGACTGGGAAATCACGATGAAGAAGTGTTTCGCTCGCATGGACGAAGAGGTGCAGAGGTGGAGCAAGAGCAAGGAAGCTCCCACTTGCAGGTGCGAGCTTCAGACTCCGCACTGCGACGCCGTCGGCTCCACCGCGGTCGTGGCCGTCGTCACGCCGGACAAGATCATCGTCGCCATAGGCCCAGCGAAAAATTGGGTTGTTACAAGCAAGGGAGGGTCACTTATTCATAACAAAATCTTTCCTTCCAAATATTTAACACAACTCTATATCTAATATTCGAACTTGATATCATTGGTTAAGTCGAAAGAATTTCATGTCAGTTGATTCATGCACTTGTGTGAGTCATATGTTCAATTTTTTTTTTTGACGTATAATATAGTCTACACAATATCCTAAAATTAACAATCAATAACTAATTTGAAGTCATAAAACATGATTTTTGTTGGTTAAACATTATTTCAATACTAATAAAATTTGATTCTAAAAGCATATGATGAACTCTCGTATCCTAAGACTGACCTTATAATTATATTAAATTATTATATTTTTAAATATGATTTATTTATCAATCTATTATTAAAAATAATTAATTAGCATAGGAAAGACCTAATAATTAATAAAAACGTGCAACTCAAATTTAAATTAATCTTTTCATTGGTACTTGTGCCAAAGCCTATTTTACTTGGCTTTCTCATTTAGTTCATGAAAATAAACTTCTTATGCTTGTTTAATACAAGGTGAATATTTTATTAAAAGGAATAATATAGCTAAATTTTTGTGGAGTGTGTCTCCAAGCTCATATAATATTTTTTAACTTTTGATACTTTGATAGCGATATTTTTTCACGTACATTTTTCTATTGGCTCTGATAACTTATTCATATCATCGTGGATGAATGTATGTTTGGAATAGTGGGGGTACTTGTCCTCACTACTATTTCACATATACATAATTTTTTATCTAAAAAAATAATATATTTTAAAAAATAAAAATTATATTCTAATAAAGTAAATATATGTTTAAATTATTATATGTATAAAATATAGATTCAGAAAAAATGTTTATTTATTTGATATTTGTCAAATTTTTGAAGGAAATTAATTCTCATGTGATAAAAAATATTTCTTAATAATAAATTAATTTTTAAAAAAGTTTAATTATAATATATATATATCTTTTTTTATTTATTGTATACGATGATTGGAAAAATTAAAATAGTAAAATTGTATACATTGGTTAAAAAAATCAAAATAAGAAAAATCAAAAGATTTATGTTCCATTTAGAATTGTTATTATAAGATATATTTTAAAATAAATTATCATAAAAAAGAATACATTAGATATTAAAAACATATTTATATCGTAAATAAATTAAACTTGATTTTTATAAAATTTAACATATTTATTTTTATATTTTTAATAGTGTTAAATTATTATAAAATAAGTCTTTATGATTGTAGTTCTACCTAAATATTTAAAAAAAATTCTATGATAGATAAATAAGTCATACTTATGATATATATTTTTAAAGAAAGTTAGGTTCAAACAAACTAAATTATAATAAAATCTAGTGTGACCTAATTTATTTTCATCTTTAATTGTAATCGTAGATATAAAAAACTTGTAAAAAATAATTATAATATATATTTATACCTTTAAAAGTTATATATAAAATTTTTAATACTACAAATATATAAATAAGTATTACTCCCACAATCTAAAATTTCTGAATCCGTCACTGGATATCATTGTCATTAATTTTATTTGCAAGCACATTCGCTAGTGTATAAACGGAACATAAGTAAAATGAAGGGAAATACTTGAAAAGAAATATTTAGAAGAAAAAAAATAGATGTTACTTATTATGATATATATTATTTCACCAATGTTGAGTCTTGAACCATAAGATAAATGATAAGGGAAGAATATATCAACAAATTAGGTTTAAGATTAATCAAATATTATTTCACTAAATAACTTTTACTGATTGAATAGTTTCTTTTAACAACCATTTCTTAAACATTATTGTAACATATTATTACTTGTTTTGACACTTCCTCAAGCAAGCATCCACCACACGAGCTGGAAGACGATCACGATCATCTGACAAGTAAAGACAATTATCAAAATATATAAAAATATATATAATAACTCAAATGTAAAAAATAATTTTAAAATCTTCAAAATTATACCAGTATTGATGTGAGTAAATTTGATCAAGTCACAACTATGAATACAATTGTGGATAAACATTCGATGATGACAAGCTGCTTCACATTTTCTCATACATCTATCATATGGAAAGAGAATATAACATTTTAAGTGACATTTAATATCACATTTAATCAATCTAAAATAGTTAATTTTTGGCTCAACTTGTACAAGTGGAGGAGTGTATCTAGCTTGTACTAAACAAAACATAGTTATGCTCATAATCACAATTCCAATAGTTTTCATCTCATTCTTTGTCATAGTTCTTTTCTATTTCTTTACAAACTATCTCAAAATTTTGTATAAATATTAAATTATTGTATGGTGTTTCACAGAAAGTAATGAACTATTTATAGACGTAAAATACATTGGTACTAAAATGCGCATTCTTTGTGGAAGATTTTTTTTAATGTAAAAATAGATATTATCAACATAAAATAACCTTGTCCCAAATTAAGGACATTTTAGGCAATTTCTTTTTAGTTATTTTATACTTTATTTATTTAATAAATTATTACTTTGTATTCTTATTATAGACTTAAATTTAAAATTTTGTTTGGTCTCTTTTATAAAAATAACCTAACATGAGTGTCTTTGACAAGACATTTGAAGAATTTATAAGCTTTTTTGACCAAAATAAGTTTATTTGGTATGAGTTTATTTTAGGGGCTTGTAACTTATTTTTATAAGTTAATTGAAGTAGCTTATAGATTCTTGTCTCTTTTTTTTCTTTCTATCATCATTAATTTATTTAAAATTATTTTTAGTCATTTTTAATTTAAAAATCATTTTTCCCACACTCCTTATTAAAAAAAGGTCGAATTATGTTTTTAGTCCTTCAAATTTGAGGTATGTATTTTTTTTGTCCCTAAAATTTAAAACTTTTATTCTTAGTCCTTAAAATACATATAAAAAATTAATTTTGTTCCTCAAATATAAAATTTACCTTTTTAGTCTCTATAATTTTAAAAAGTAATTGTTTGTCTCTATATACACCTTTTTGATCCCTCAAATTCAAAGCATGCATTTTTAGCCCCCAATAAATATATATA